TGATGATGGACATAGGGTTGACGAGAGTGTCACCTGGAGGGCCAGATCCTGAACATCACAAAGGACCTCCATCAACATCTGACGTTAGTTACCGTGGGTTAAAGGAGATTCATCCAAGCAAGACGGTGGACATAGGGTTGATGAGAGTGTCACCTGGAGGGCCAGATCCTGAACATCACAAAGGACCACCATCAACATCTGACGTTAGTTACCGTGGGTTAACGGAGATTCACCCAAGCAAGACGGTGGACATAGGGTTGACGAGACTGTCACCTGGAGGGGCAGATCCTGAACATCACAAAGGACCTCCATCAACATCTGGCGCTAGTTACCGTGGATTAACGGAGATTCACCCAAGAAAGACGGTGGGCATAGGGCTGACGAGACTGTCCCCTGGAGGGCCAGATCCTGAACATCACAAAAGACCTCCATCAACATCTGACGTTGGTTACCGTGCGTTAACGGAGATTCACCCAAGCAAGACGGTGGACATAGAGTTGATTAGAGATTCACCTGGTGGGCCACATCCTGAACATCACAAAGGACCTCCATCAACAACTGAAGTTAGTTACCGTGGGTTAACGGAGATTCACCCAAGCAAGACGGTGGACATAGGGTTGACGAGAGTGTCACCTGGAGGGCCGGATCCTGAACAACACAAAGGATCTCCATCATCATCTGACAGTAGTTATCGCGAGTTAATGGAGACTCTCCCAAGCAAGACGATGAAGGACATAGGGTTGACGAGAGTATCACCTGGAGGGTCGGATTCTGAACATCACAAAGGACCACCATCATTGTCCAACATTAGTTTACGTGGGTTAACGGAGACTCGCCCAATCAAGAGGGTGATGGAGATAGGATTGACGAGAGTGTCACCTGGAGGGCCAGATCCTGAACATCACAAAGGACCTCCATCAACATCTGACGTTAGTTATCGTGGGTTAATGGAGACTCACTCAAGCAAGACGGTGATGGACATAGGGTTGACGAGAGTGTCACCTGGAGGCCCGGATCCTGAACATCACAAAGGATCTCCATCATCATCTGACAGTAGTTATCTTTTGTTAACCGAGACTCGCCCAAGCAAGAGGATGAAGGACATAGGGTTGACGAGAGTATCACCTGGAGGATCGGATTCTGAACATCACAAAGGACCACCATCGTTGTCCAACATTAGTTTACGTGGACTAATGGAGACTCGCCCAAGCAAGACGATGAAGGACATAGGGTTGAAGAGAGTGTCACCTGGAGGGCTGGATCCTGAACATCACAAAGGAGCTCCATCAACATCTGACGTTAGTTACCGTGGGTTAACGGAGATTCACCCAAGCAAGACGGTGGACAAAGGGTTGACTAGAGTGTCACCTGGAGGGCCAGATCCTGAACATCACAAAGTACCTCCATCAACATCTGACGTTAGTTACCGTGGGCTAACGGAGATTCACCCAAGCAAGATGGTGGACAAAGGGTTGACGAGACTGTCACTTGGAGGGCCGGATCCTGAACATCACAAAGGATCTTCATCATCATCTGACAGTAGTTATCGTGAGTTAACGGAGACTCTCCCAAGCAAGACGATGAAGGACATAGGGTTGAAGAGAGTATCATCTGGAGGGCCGGATCCAGAACATCACAAAGGACCACCATCATTGTCCAACATTAGTTTACGTGGATTAATGGAGACTCGCCCAAGCAAGACGATGAAGGACATTGGGTTGACGAGAGTGTCACCTGGAGGGCCGGACCCTGAACATCACAAAGGACCGCCATCATTGTCCAACATTAGTTTACGTGGGTTAACGAACACTCGCCCAAGGAAGATGACGAAGGACATAGAGTTGATGAGACTGTCACCTGGAGGGTCAGATCCTCAACATCATAAAGGACCTCCATCATTGTTTGACGTTAGTTTACGTGGGTTAATGGAGACTCGCCCAAGTAAGATGATGATGGACATAGGATTGAAGACAGCATCACCTGGAGGGCCAGATCCTGAACATCACAAAGAACCGCCATCATCGTTCTAAATACACATCATTCTGAAAGGTGGGCAAAAGGAGAATTAATTTTGTGTGTTTTTCCGCTTTCTAGCTAGAGTGGATAAGCCTTTGCTTTTCTTTTTGGAAAGTTGTTTTCACTTGTTCCTCGTTGCCTCCTTAATCATTCACTTATTTACTATTGTTTGCCGATTAAAGTTGTGTGAGGATTGAAGTTGTAAATGTTATATCAAATCTTTGTATTTTTATTTATTTTTTTTAATTTTTCAGAGTACTGAAGCACGCATTTGAAACGCAAACCTGTGCTGAGTTCAGCTTAAGATCATGCCCAGTCTGCTGCCGCTGCTGCATTGAAATTATCAACAAATATACATAAACATCTATAAATTGCACTCGTGTTATATACTGCTGCACTGAGGAGTATTATGATTAATCAATGGGTTCTCGCGCAATGGGTGGTTTTTCTTATCAATCCAGAGTATTCAACATTTTCGTTTTCCTTTGCATGGGCTATTCAATCTAGGCTTTCCTTCAATAAAGCTATACTTTAATTTCTATTTATGCAAAATTAAAGTAGAAAATGCAGGGTCTGGTTAGAGTTTTAATTATTTAACCCAAATTGAATGCATGTTTGTTTGACCTGGTTCATTAGTTTAAAACTCTACACATATAAAGGGTATTCTTATAATTTGGTGTAACTTCTACCCCTAACCTTGAAGTTGTAAATTTGTTGTTGTTCTTCTTATTATTATTATTATTATTATTATTATTATTATTATTATTACTATTATTATTATTATTATTATTATTATTATTATTATTATTGTTATACTAACAAACTTGAATTAATTTTACAATTTTTATAATTTTTAAATATGACTTAAATGGATTAAAATTATTATTTTATGATTTTATTAAATAAGTTACCTAATTAAATAGGTAACTTAAAGCATGGGCTTGTTAAATAATTTGCACATACAATTGTTCTATAACATATGAAGCCATATTGGCATCAAACTAATGGATCCATATGTAATATGTGTATAAACATAGAAAGAACTTATATTTATAGGGGGAACTTGGGTGAGCCTAGCTTAATTCCTGACTGACCTAACCCACAACTTACATGCATTGTGCTTGGATTTTCAATCCTTGGGTTGGTTCTGGGCCTAAATGTTTAGGCTTTCTTAATTTCTGGGGTCTGGCACAGGTCTAGCCCTTGGGCAACCTGAGCTTGGCCCAACCTTAACCCAACTTAAATAAGCCCAGCTGAACTATATGCATATATACATGCATATATAGACACATTATTTGCATGCATATGTATGCGTATATATACATATATGAATACACATTTTTAATTTATATTTTAGTGTGTGCTTATTGACTAACCCAAACTAGATGGCGCAGGCCTGAGACCAACCCAAGTGCATCAAATTTTAGTGTGGACTTGGCTCAGGTTGGACAGATCCAGCTTAACCTCAGGATTAGGGCAAAAGCTCAATTCTAAAGGTTGGGCCTGGTTTAAGCTTAATTGCTAGTAGAAATTTGAGGAATCTGGTAGACTATATTATGTGGACTGTTTAGTTATGGCAAACAAAAAGATAGAGTATGGGATTGTTTTCGGGCTGGTGAGTCAAGTTTGGGCCTTTCCATTTAAGATACAGTATGGGACTGTTTGTCCCATTCAAGTATTGGAAACTTTCCCCTAAATGGAAAAGTTATTTATCCACCTAGGAGATGGATATACCCAGAAAAATAAATTTTCTCTCGTCCTCACATAAATCTGAAAAAAAGAACATGAAATTATTGATCAATGGGAACCAAAATTCCATTGACCAACTTTCCCCCTCCCAAAATCTGAAAAAAGAACACCCCCTAATCTCTCTTATGTGAAGCCAATCAGGTGGCAAAGCTCGGGCATGGAGGAATTAATAGTATATTTTTGATTAATAATATATAGGAATATGACCTCTTGTACATTGTTGTAATGGATACACTGAAGCACACAGTCAACGTGCAACACAACACCTGTCCCATCTATGCAATAAGTAATTATATATAACACTTGCTGGACACTTCCAATTCTACTTATGATTATTAGCCCGGTCAGTCCAACTAATAAAATATGTACAATCACATCGCTTCTCAGTACTCACAAATCACTCTATTCAGTTTCGGTAGCTCAAATTGCTAGCTGCTTCTTTATGACTCATTTAAACATTAATTTCAATGGTGACTTCAACTATGCGGTGACTGTTGATGTTGCTCTTGCTAGTCCTGCTGATCCTCATTGTTGTATCGGAGGCACGAGTTCAACCTGGGTTTCTGAATATACAAATTTGTTCAAGCAAGATGGTGATGGACATAGGGTTGACGAGAGTGTCACCTGGAGGGCGGAATCCTGAACATCAAATAGGACCTCCATCATCGTGCGACGTTAGTTTACGTGGGTTAGCAGAGACTTGCCCGAGCAAGATGGTAATGGACATAGGGTTGATGAGAGAATCAAATGAAAGGCCGGATACTGAACATGGATCACAAAGTACCTCCATCATCGTTCTAGACTGAAAACCTTATGAGAATTACAGAGAACAGTTGAGAAGTATAAAACGATTGAATGCCGGCCAGTTCGATGGGAATGATTTATTGATGACTAGTATTTATAGATGTACAATCATAGATGAAGTAGGACTCTAACAGTCCAAGAAAAGGTACAATTAGTAACTAGAAATATAACTTAAACACAACTTATTTAATTGTTACCTGCAGCTGTAGTAGAGTCTGAATGATACTCTATCTTATCACTTCCCCTCAAACGAAATTTGCTAATGCTGACGATGAGTTTGTCTCGAAGTTGAGCATGACGTTTTGTGGAAAGAGAGCTTTGTAAAGATGTCCGCTATCTGATCCTTAGTGGGGATGTGTTGAACAAGAAGTTGACCATTGGAGATTCTATCTCTGATGAAATGACAGTCAATCTCTATAGGTTTGGTGCAACTATGGAAGTTGGAAGATAGGATTGGCTGCTAGATAGGTGGCGGAAATATTACCACACCACATGATAGGAGGTGAGGAGAGAGGCACACCAAGGTCTCGTAACAAGGATGAGAGACAAACAAATTCTGCAGTGGTGTCAGCAAGCACACGAAACTCCAATTCAGTATTTGATCGTGCAACAGTAGATTGTTTATGTGCTTTCCTAGAGATCAGATTAGGCCCAAGGTATATAGCAAAACCGCCAGTAGATTTGCGGTCATCGGGGCATCCAAACCAATTGGCACCACTGAAGGCTGAGATGGAGAATGAATCAGAATGAGAGAAAGACAGCCCCATGTTGATGGTCCCCTTGAGATAACGAAGAATTCGTTTAACAAATGTCCAATGAACATCAGATGGAGATTGCATAAACTGACATCCTCTGTTAACTGCAAAGGATATGTCAGGACGGGTCATAGTGACATATTGTAAGGCTCCTACGATGCTTCTATAGCTCTAAGGATCGGAAAGTGGAGTGTTGTCTGTTTTAGAGAGCCTTGTATTGAGGGGAGCTGGAGTAGTGAGAGGTTTAGCACCATCAAATCTTGAGGCACAAAGTAGTTTATAGATATACTTATGCTGAGAGAGCATCAGACCCGTACTTGTAGTGGTAGCTTCAATTCCCAAAAAATAGTGTAAATTCCCATGATAATGTACCACAAAGTTAGTAGCCATCAAAGAGATTAAGTGAGAGAGTAGTGTCATTGTTGGAGGTGAATAGAATGTCATCAACATAAACAAGAAGATATATCATGACTGCTTGATGTTTGTAGATGAAGAGGGATGCATCACTATTAGAGGCAGTAAAACCGAGATCTAACAACTTTGAACTCAACTTGTGAAACCAATCCCTCGGAGCCTGCTTTAAGACATATAAGGCCTTTTTCATATAAATCTCTATGTAAGAAGGCATTGGAGATGTCTAGTTGCTCCATAGACCATTGCTTGGAGAGAGCCAGAGAGATGACAATTCTTATAGTGGTGGGCTTGACGACTGGACTAAAGGTGTCACCAACATCTATGCCAGGTTGTTGATTGTAGCCTTGGGAAACCAAGTGCGCCTTGCAACGTTGAAGGTGCCATTAGCATTTTGCTTGATTCTATAAACCCATCTACTTCCAACAATATTCATGTTTGGACGTGAAGGAACTAGGGTCCAAGTATTGTTTTTAATTAATGCGTCAAACTTATATAGAGCTGATGGCCTCTCGCCATTCGGGGTATTTAGAGGCTTGTTGAACGATATGGGTTCAATTACATCCTCCTGTACCTGAGATATAAGTGCTTGTGGTAGTGGATACCGTGTTGAGAACATAGAGGAGCGAGATTGTGATCTTGTCACCATTGGATGAGTCCGAGCAAGAGGTTGAATGGGTTATGTTGTTTGGAGAATGGACTCTAATGACGAGGATGAAAAGTAGAAGAGCTCTTAGTTGTATCAGAATTTGAAGAAGATGTGGCAGACTGAGAGGATACAATGTTAGGCGCTGTAGAAGCAGTGCTGGTTGGCTGAACTGATGTTGATGATTGTGACGGTGCTAAGGAAGATGGTGTAGTAATGTAATGGCCTATTGTTGAATTAAGCTGGAGCTGGCGAAGAAGAGAAGGCAACAAAGGGAAAAGAATGTTATCGAACTTGATATCTCTACTGATGTAAACTCTGTCGGTGGATGGATCCAAACACCTATATCCCTTGTGAGAAGGGCTATAGCCAAGAAATACACATCGAACAGAATGATAGTCTAATTTATGTTGATTGTAAGGCCGCAAATGTGGGTAGCAAGCACACCCAAATATCTTGAGTAAAGTATAATCTGGTGACTCCGCAAATAGTTTCTCATATGGGGATGAATAGCCAAGAATTGGAGTGTAGGTAATCGATTTATCAAATAATATGCAGTGAGGACTGTTTCATCCCAATATTGTTGTTGCATACTTGCATGGGAGAGCAAGGCTAAGGCTGTCTCTATAACATGTCTGTGCTTCCGCGCTCGGGTGCCCCGTTCTGAGCATGAGCATGACAACAAGAGACTCGATGCACAATGACACGTTGGTCGAGGCAGGAAGAGAGAGAACGAAATTCCCCACCCCAATCTGACTGAAATCATTTAATTTTTTATGCAAAAAAAATTTCAATAAGAGTGTTGAAGTAAATAAAAGTCGGCAGAGCATCAGATTTTCGAGCAAGGGGGAAGATCCAAGAGTAGAACTAAAATCATCTAAAAAGGTTATGTAATAACGATAACCATTATGAGAAGCAATGGGGGATGGTCCCCAAATATCAGAATATATTAAATCTAAAGGTGCATGAGATGGAACATGTGAATGAGCATAAGGTAGCTTGCGACTCTTGGAGACTTAACAATCATGGCACACAAATGAGGAAAATACTATTCACTATGAATGGGTAAACCAAAACAAGAAATAACATGCTTGATTGTATTGAATGCTGGATGGCCTAATCTGGAATGTCAATCGCTAACTGAATCTTTTCACCAAAGAAAGCTGAAGTAGAGATTGGGGCACTAGAGGATGGAAGCTTATAGAGACCGCCTTCACTATAGCCTTGAAGAAGGATGCTCCCCGAGAATCGATCCTTAATAGGAACAAAAGAGGGATGAAATTCAAAATAGCAGTAATTATCTTGAGCAAACTGGCTAACTAAAACTAGATTCTTGTCTATATTAGGAACATAAAATATGGAGTTCAAATGAAATAGATGATCATTATAAGCAAAAGTAGAGTCACCAATATGTGCAATTTTCTGACCTGCTCCATTGCCTACACGAATTTGTTCTGGACCTGTATATTCAAATCTGGATTGCAAATCGTTGATGTCAGATGTTAAGTGGTTGGTTACTCCAGTATTAAGATACCATGCTAGATCATAGTAGTTGGAGATGCCCCCCTGCTTGGTATGCATTGAGCTGATTTTGAGGCTGCTCACCATTGTATGACAGATCAAACCGCCTACTGCATGTCAAAACAGTATGGTTCAGTTTGTTACATAACTGACACCGAACTTCAGGCATCTGAACCCATTCATTGTTATAATTGCCTCGTCCACCACCACCCCCCCTTCTCCGTCCTCATCCTCTGTTATTACTGTTAATACTGTTGGAATTATTACAATTCTGTTGAGAGCTACCTTGCTGATTGGTTTGAGGATGCTGTTGTTGCTAAGCGTTGGCAAGGTTTGTGGATGGGGTCGGATTTGAAATGGGGAGATTACGTTGTTGTAACTAGACCTCATGATTTAGTAGAAAACCATGCATGTCTTCAACAGTGAGAGAGGCAAAGTTAGGCCTTGTAGTAATGGAGGTGATGAAGGGGTCAAATTCAACGCCTAAGCCACCAAGAATGTGCAGTAATAAATCTCTAGTTGAAACAGATTCTGAAGCCGAATTGAGTTGTTCAGCCAGTGCCTTAACCCATTGTATATATTTTGTAATGGTAGGTGATGAGGGTGGATTTGGCCCTCCAATTATATTGTGACACATGGCACCTCGGAACAAATAGGTGACACTCGGAATCACTTAGGCAACAACTTGCCTTAGCCAAGTTGATGGTGTCCCACCTGGTGGCCTGGCCCAGGCGCGAACTGGCTGCCTAGCCCAGGAGCGACCCGGCGGCCTGGCACAAGCGCCGAACTAGCGGCCTGGCACAGCTGCCGAACTAGCGGTTTGGCACAAGCACCGACCTGGCGGCCTAGCACAGGCGTCGACCTGGCGACCTGCGAAACGTGCTCGCCGACAAATTCGGCATGCATATCCTAACACTCCCACGATCCTTGGAAGTTGGTCCACGTATCGAACGATCCGGAGGGTGGTCAACGTGCATGGCGGTTGCCTCAGGGAATCTCAGACCACTTAGACAACTTCTCGGAAATCTCAAATGCGGTGCGTGAAGCCCACGCCAAACAATGCCTATATAAAGGCACCAACCCCAATGGCATGGGGGGGGGCAAGTAAGCATATTCTATCTTTCATACTTTGTGATGTTTAGTTCGTAGTCTAATATGAGAGTACTGACTTAAGCATCAGAGTGACCTCACCGGGTTAGCCACTTCGGGTCCTCTGACATTGATTCCTTGCAGGTCCCTAAAGAACTACGAAGCTCAACAATCAATACAGCTCGCCACCAGGCAGCTCGGCCCTCTGGTCAGCTCGGCACCTAACCTGCCTAGCTCGGCCCAGTTAGCTCGACACCTAACCTACCCAGCTCGGCCCAGTTAACTCGATACCTAATATGCCCCCAACTCGGCCTGGTCAGATCGGCATCCAGGTCCTCATCCAGCAAAAGTTCACTTCGGCCTCTGAGTCATCGGCCACTTGGAAGCAGACCAAATGACGAGGTACTTAGCACAAAAAATTGATACATGACCAAAAATTGATTCATCAATTGGCACCGTCTGTGGGAAACACTACAAAAAACTAAATTCTCATCCTCCAAAAGGCTAAGTCCTCTTCTTCTAGAAAGATAAGTTCTCAACTTTTAGAAATTAAAAGCTCTCACTTTCTAGTTTCCATTTTTTATGAATTCAAAGACTATGCAGGAAGTTATTGGCCAACAGACTAAGCAGCTCTACCAACTTTATTTCAACTTGGATAAAGCCTCATCAGTCCTCTTCGCGAGGTACCCTCGACAAAGATGAGCTCTTCCTGGCTTCTGCGGGAGTAGCTTCTTGTAGGAGTGGGTAACCGACGTCACTAATGAGGCTAATGCAGCGCATCCGTAGCTCTAAGGTGCCAAGTTGATAAAAGACCTTGGCACCACATAAGACCCAGTCGCTTCTTCGGCATGGGCAAAATCAAAGATCAAGGAGAGTGGACTACGATTCACTCCCAGAACCTAAGGGCTAAAGTGCCGAACTAGCAAAGACTTTGGCACCACATAAGACCTAGTCGCCTCTTCGGCATGGGAAAAATCAAAGATCAAGGAGAGTGGACTACGAGTCGCTCCCAGAGCCTAAGGGCTAAAGTGCCGAATTGGCAAAGACTTCGGCACCTCATAAGACCCAGTCGCCTCTTCGACATGGGCAAAATCAAGGGTAAGGAGAGTGGACTACGAGTCGCTCCCAAAGCCTAAGGAATTGACTCGACGCTTACGAGCTCATCGAATTAGTCATTTCAGGCCAAAAGGAGAATCTACTCCCTTTGCCGAGTTACTTTCAGCTCGGGAGTGGAGGCAAATGATGAGGGCGGATTTGGCCCTCCAATGATATTGTGACACATGGAACCTCGGAACAACTAGGTGACACACGGAACCACTTAGGCAACAACTTGCCTTAGCCAAGTTGATGGTGTCCCACCTGGCAGCCTGGCGAGGCGTGAACTGGCAGCCTAGCCCAGGCGCCGAACTGGCGGCCTGGCACAGGCGCCGACCTGGCGACCTGCGAGACGTGCTCGCTGACAAAT